TACAAAAATTCACTAATTTTTATATAATTGTTATTTATCATAATTTATTATTATAAAATATTTTACACAAATAAATATTAAAAATATTTATAAATTACAAACAAATTATTTAATTTTCCCAGAATTAACACCTAATAGAAACTTGTAATAATTTATTATATATAAAACTACGATAAATTTTAATTAACTTTACAATTAAATGACTTTACAAAAAATTCAACCAGACTTAACATAATTAATTTTTTACAAACCATATTTGTTGTTAAGTCTATAAATTTAATTAAAGTCTCAATTAAACAACAAGCAGTCTATCAGAGAAAATGGCAAAAAGTCACTTGGTGATCGTGATGATCGTGGCCATTGTCTTAGTGGCCATTCAGGTCAATGATGCGGAACCGGGAAGGTATATATGGGAGGAGTTGGAGGACAGTTGGAATGACCTGAAACGTGATGCTAAAAAGGCATTTAAGGACATTTTCCACCGAGGTAAGTTTTGTGTTATCATTATTATTTTACTTAATAAATATTTATTTATCAATTTGTGGCCTATTGCTATCTAATGTATAATTGTTTTTATGCAATGTAGATCTTGATAAAATAAGGGACCCATTTGGAGAGTGAGTAGTATTGATAATGTTGTAGTTTTTAATTAAATTTTAATTAAAAATTAATTATTTTTATTTGACAAATAATTTTTACTAGATGGCGTCGAAAGAGAAGCTTGGTAAACAACGGGCCAAATTTTGAGCAACCTTAACCCACCAAAATAAATACAACTAAATGTTTCTGGCCATGGTGTTATGAAATATCATTTTTCCAAAATTTTATAATATTAATTATTTTGTTGACTATGAATTAAATTTTTTATTAAATTTTTAGAAATATATATACAGGGTGTATTATGCATTCCTGACGCTTTTACAGCATTTATATTATATTTATTTTATCAATGTTATAGAATATTTTTCTTAAAAGTAATTCGTGGAATTTATAAGCAAATAATTCGTGTTTAATTTGGTATAATTTATATAATAATTGATAATCCATTGGTCTACCAGGAATAATTTTATTGTAAAAATATCACATTTAAATTAAAAGTAATTCGTGGAATTTATAAGCAGATAATTCATGTTTAATTTGGTATAATTTATATAATAATTGATAATCCATTGGTCTACCAGGAATAATTTTATTGTAAAAATATCACATTTAAAATATTATTGATTTTGTGACCTTATCTATTTCTCGAAACAGTAAGCGTAATTAAATAATACTAATTCAGCAGATTAACCATTATATGTAATTTATTAATTCATCATAATATTTAATTTTTCATAACCATACTTTCCTCTGTAATTTTATTACTATGTTAACTTTTGCCATAGGATTACATTGAAAAATTCACAAAAACATAAATTGTTCAACAAAGTTAGAATATTCTGGTTTAAATTCTAGATATTTAAGAAAACTTAAATACTGAGTACGCAAATATAAAGTCCAACTTTTAATTAATTGAAAACAGCCGAGTTTATTAAAATTGGTTTACAAATGCCTGATCTACACATGTTTAAGATAACCTACTTTTGTAATGCTTTTCAATGCAAATATGCATGTGTCAGAAATGGATAATACACGCTTTATATAGTTTTTTACTTATTATGTTATATACAGTATTTGTATGTAATAATAATTTTCAACAGTAATCTATTTTAGTTACTTTTATGAATTAATTTGTAATTAACTAGTACTGCAATTTTATTTATATTTAACCAGATGATATTAGTAATTCCCACAAAAAGTATATTTAAACAAGTTTAAATAAAACAATTGTTAAGTTCAATTTTTTAAAGTAGAGTACTTGTCAATGATATTCACCAAGGTTCATTTAATCATCAAATTGCAATTATTATTATATCATTTAAATAATAGTTAATGAATTAAATGGAAATTATAATTATAAATTCATAGAAATATACAACATCCTGTACCATGCTGATACCAACAAAGTATAATTACTAAATATATTTACATAATTTATTTTAAATTTTATAAATAATGAAAATATTTAACTATAAAACCCAGATCATTTTGCACACAGAATAAATTACTTCAATATTCTCTTTATTGTCATATACAGTAAAACCAATTATTTTAATTATGAATATATCAATTTTATTGATAGTGGTCATTTTTGCTACTAATGCATCATGCCATTATCGTTCATGGAATGAGTGCTGGAACAAATACACCCCGATTGAGCGCCACTGGGTTATGACCATGTTTTGTAGTACGTATAAGAATTAGTAAAAAAAAACTAAATGCCTAGTATAGTTTATGTAATGCTTAACATGCTTCATAACGTTCATGCTTGATTAAATGCAAAATTAATTTTAACCTAGGTGATTGCGCATACATCAAGGCTGACCTGGACAATTATAATCGGTGTGCCAACCAGCACTACCCTGATCATCACAAAAAGTTACCCTTATATCGGCAACACTATCGCAAAAACTCGAACACTGGCCATAAACTATGTTTCCAAGAGTTTCGCAATGGGATGACCAAGTTTACTGATGGATACGATAAGTTTGACTCGTGCTTTCGCCAACACGTTCACCGTGATCGTATTGAAAAGTGTGCTCGTTACGTTTACGAATGAATTGTATCATAACAAAATGTTGTGATTTATTTTAAATTAAATTTTTAAAACTCTAATTCACGTAATAATTAATCACAAGCTAATATATTTTCCATTATTTTAAGCTTATTTATTTTTCAAGTTTACATGAACTCGATAC